GCAGAGTAGAAATTGCTGGCTGTCACAGTTGAGATGGTCACACTTTTCATGGAATCATCAGGTGGGAATGCAACATAATTCAACAGATTTCCAGTCATCCTCATAAGCCAATCGAGAGGGACTTCGATGGACCACAGATTAGAGTGAGTTCTAAGCTTTCCATCTCTGTTTGCTTCTTCACACCTTTTCAAGCTCAGCGATTCTTATCAGATCATGTCACTTCATTCTGATCTCTGTTACAGTCCACAGAGAACTAAATCTCAATCGATTATTTAGGCCTTTCTCAACATATATTGTGTAAGATAAAAGAACATATAATTTTAGTGCCACTAGAACTGATTCTTGGAGCATAGTCAGTCCTGTGGTTAGCTAGTCATGTAGAGCTGGTCATCATCTTGAGTGATAGCAAGCTGTTAGCTTGAGACCATGTTATCTGTTCATATCCACAGGGAAATCTCAAGGAAAGTGAACCATTCATTTCAGGGAGGTGAAGTAGAAATATGGAAACTGATACTGTCTTCCGTTGTGTTCATGACTGGAACAAAGGAATTGATTCTTCATGATGAACTTTTGGCGTAAGGTGAAGTATGTACTATACTTTCAACTGAGACTGGAGATTCCTCTGTTCTTACTGTTCTTGGAGAAAAGAGAGAACACGTTAAGAAAGCTTCATAGTCATGGCAGCTAGTGAAAGTGTCATTTCCCAACTAACCAAAAAGCTTTCACCTTTCCTTCCATCACTCCTAACTCACGTCCCTCGAATCAGTCTCTTTTGGAAATATTTTATGCATTGTAAGTCATCTTAAATCCCAATATATTGCAGTGCAAGAGGAACAGAGACTTGCTTAGGCCTTCCTGTGCTTCCTTCTTCATCCTCTCTGCTTTATCCATCTGAGAATCTTAAGCATATCTATCTATAACAAGTTCAGCGGCAGGAGGAATGGGACGGCATTCTTGCTGTCTCAGGCAGAAGCTAAGGAAAGGGTTGTGGTCTCCTGAAGAAGATGAGAAGCTCTACAATCACATCATTGCGTTTGGAGTTGGATGTTGGAGCTCTGTGCCAAAACTAGCAGGTATTTGTTCGACTCTGCCTTGTTGCCAGACTCTTTCTTCACCATCCTCGTCTTTGCTCTCACAGGACTGCAGCGCTGTGGGAAGAGCTGTAGACTCAGGTGGATCAATTACCTGAGGCCAGACCTTAAACGAGGCAGCTTCTCTCAGCAAGAAGAGGACGTGATCATAGGTCTACATGGAATTCTGGGCAACAGGTAGCAGCTAATCATGAAGAGTTTCAGTGAGCAACTCATAGCATCAACCTTTCTCGTGTTCTGTGGCTGCAGGTGGTCCAAAATTGCATCACAGTTACCGGGAAGAACAGACAACGAGATCAAGAACTTCTGGAACTCATGCCTCAAGAAGAAACTGCGACTGAGGGGAATCGACCCAACCACCCATAGGCCACTGAACGAGGTGAAAACACAAGAAGAGACGATCAGAATGTATTACTCGAATTCTGGTGCTAACTTTGAGCAGTTGCCGGAGCATCCCTTCCCGCTGATCGAAATCCAGACATGTTTGGATTCAATAGAGAGCAACGCGAACTTCTACTACCAATTCCACCAGCCTTTTGAGCCGCTAAGCCAGAATGAATGCTTAGTCAAGCCAGAGTTATGTGATTATGGCGGTGTCATGGATGTTCCAGAGAACTTTGGCTACGGGGAGAGCTCCAGCAACAGCGGCAACTGGAACTGCAACGTAGTACCTGAGATAAAGCATGTGTTTGGAAGTGAAGCATTGAATTGGGTATCTGTGAGCAAGGCGGAAACACTTGTGGAGCCTCATGAACACAAGCATAGTTCTTGGCGAGAGTGTCAACATGTAATGAGCTCAGAAGATTTCAGCACAGAACCAGTGGGTTCACTGCCTCGTGATCTCTCAGACATCTGCTTCAATGTCCCTCGAGATGCATCGGTAGGCGAATTCAATGTGGAATTCATCTAGAGTTTCTTCAATGCACGTTACCTCTCTCTGTTCATTACATTTGAATTCACCATAGCTTGTCCTTCTGGTCTGTTTTTTGTCACAATTTTCTCCTCCTTTTTGGTATTTCGTTGTTAATAAGGCTAATATAATAAAGAAAGTTCTTCTTCTTCTTCTTCTTCCTCTCATTCCTTCACTCCATTAATGCTCATTACCTTCCACTAGAATCTCGTAGAGCTGGCAGTTGTATCCTAGTATTGTCACAGTCTCAATATATCCATCCATCTCTCTCATCATCATTATGAGCAAATGTCTCTGGTCTCATGGATCCCATGTGCTTTGCGGCAAACAGAGAGAGTACCTCCAAAAGCACAAGTTGCTTCTCTGTCTGCAGCAACTGTTGATACATATTTCAAATCTATATTGATGTCTGTATCAAATTCCATCTGACGAGCTATCATGGCAAGAAGTTCGATGCCAGCAAAAGAGATTCTGAGCTATCAGCGGAGTGGGGGGGCTCTATGAAATATATGCTCCTTCAATGATCTGGCCCATTCCATGCATGAACTGTAGGATCATAATAAAAATCTCTGCTCTTTTCCTTCTCCAATGCATCTTTTTACAGTCTAATCAAACAAAGCTGTAGATCTAATAATAGTGATCAGTTGATCTTTTACGTGCACAGTTGTTTAACACAAAGAATGAAACTATTCATGGGTGGATGACAAGGCCAGAACTTGATATGTCTCAACTCTGTCTCCGGAGGAAG